CTTTTCTTGGGTCTCGTAGCAACACTTTCGTAGGCAAGCCAGGATGCCATTGGCCCTCTTGGCCACCTGAGCTCACTGCTGGCTCATGTTCAGGCAGCCGTCAACCAACACCCCCAGGTCCTTTTCCACCAGGCAGCTCTGCAGCGAGTTGGTTTAGACACCCCATCTCCCACCTTTGTCTTCGGCCAAATCTTTTTTCATCGGAGCAGCTCTGTGACCCACTCCACCGTGCAACCCACCCAGGGGCTGGGGCCCAGAACGACCCCTAAAACGCTGGTACCGCCTCAGAGGGGACGTTCACCGAGCCACAGTCCGGTCACGCTGGCGGGTGGGCACTCGACACTGGGAGCCAGGACAGGCAGGAGCGCGGGGGTCAGGACAGACAACGGGCTGTCCTCCCTGTCTGGAAAATGCCACTGCCGCCGAAATACCAGAAGCTACACTTTTACCAGATCCCATTTCTACCATAGGAACTTCACGAATTTCTGCAAAAAGGCTCTAAATCTCATAAGAGACCCTCGGGTGTGGAAGCTCCTGGAACACTCTCGTGGGAGATCCAGCAGGGACACAACCGTGCCGGCCCGCACCCCCGTTTCACCGGTCTCCCTCCCGCCTCACGGTGCCAGGCCGGTCCCCGCCACCCGCCAGGCTCCCGGCAGGAGGAACGGGGATGTTTATGGGGCTCCGGAGCTCCGGGCGGGAACTGAGGGGGCCCACGGCGGCGTGGAGACCCCCCCGGGCCCGCAGGCCCGGCTCCTCAGTGATGGAGTCTCCGAAGAGGATGACGCGGGGCCAGACCAGGAGCGGCGGGGGCCGCTGCCGCTGCCGCTGGAAACGGCGCGGCAGCGGCTCGGGGCAGGCGCCGGTTTCGATCCGCGTTAAAAACCGGCCTCAGGCTCCCGCACCGCCCATGTTTCGTTGCTCCCCCGCCGTGTAAAAGGCGCGTTGCTGGAAGGGAAGCACCCCCTCCTGCGGGGCCGGGGGCGGCCGGGCGGTGCGGAGCTGACCCACGGCCGTGTAACCCCCGTCCCTCGCGCTGGCTGGGAGCACGCTTACAAAGCATGCGTCATTTTAAAAATAAGATTTTTATCTGTTCCAAAGAGAGACTTCCTTTTTAAGAAAAGGCAATTATCTCCTTTAGCCGACTTCATACTCTTATTTAGTTGGCTAACAACATACAAGTTGGGGAGGAAAGCCGTCCCTAATCCTGCTAATACTAATAACAGAGTAATACTGCTATAAAAATTATCAGGTGCCAATTTAATCAGCTGAGAAAAGGGGGGAAAAAAACCCTTGTGCATACAAGGGAAAGATAACGTTCTCTTGTAGAAAACTGACTTTCTGTGGACGTTTTTCAGCATGACTTACTGTTTGGCAACAACCCCAGCTCACCGGGAGTACCGCGTTGCTTCGTTTCGCTTGGCCCAGGCCAGGCAGGGACGGGGCCGTCGGCAGGAGCAGATGCGTGCCGCGGCCGCAGGAACAGGCGCAGGAATGGCCGCAGGAACAGCCGCAGGAATGGCCGCAGGAGCAGCCGCAGGAGCCACCTGCGCTCCAGGCTCCTACAGGTCACGAGCGCCGACTTCGCTTGAAGCCGATTTTGTTCATCGAGTCCGGTTAACGGCAATGCCTGCATACATAGTTTTAAAGCTCCAATTAGCCCCGCTATGCAAACATGGACTCCATTTTAAATGTGTTCAAGCTCCCCTTTGACTTAAAGCAGATACAAGCAGGCAGGTAATTGCTTCCTTGATAGGAACAAAATTATATGCAAGCTTGATTCTGACCGTATGCAAACCCAAAATGTCCAACTTATCCTGCAACTGGTCGTTAATCTTCAAAAATATAAAGCTCTCTCAATTTTTGTAATTCTACATTTAGATAGGTTAAGAATTTTTTCTTACTTCTTGTATGTGCACATAAGAAAAAAGAACGTATGCACACTTTGCCTTTTTATTATGATCTATATGCACAAATATAATTGCTATATGAGGTTGCTCATCCGTTATTTGAAATGACTTGGTAGTTTCACAGTCACAGAATTGATACGTTTGACTTACGGAAGAAAAAAATTTATTTACTCTTAAAAAATCATCCAAATAAATCGAACATTTAAAAGATTTTTTTGATGTGTCGTAGGTATCTACAGAGATCAGTATACTGGGCTGAGGGCATCATAAAGCCTCTGTGCAGCCAGCTCCACCATTTCACGAAGGGATTCGTCATCTTCGCTTCCTGGCTCACAGTCAACTGTCTGGGAACAAAAAAAGAGGTATGTTAGAACAACTAGCACTTCATATTCCTTTTCAGCAGGTGAAAAATGCTCATAAGGGAAAAGGCAAAAGTAGTCATGCAAACTGAAAAGAAAGTTATCAAGGGCAGCAGGGTATGATTTTAAATGGTCTGCTGACATGTAAAAAGAGTTCAGAGAAGGCTTATGCAAGTGCTGCTGAGGAACAAGAAGCTTAATCTCGAGTTTTATGTTTGATTAATAACTTGTTTCAGAACTACTATGCAAAATGCATTAAGTTCTGTAGATTACATTTAATTCAAAATCAAATAACACCACACAAGGTTCAGTCCTTGGAGATTTCATTTTATCTGTGAATTCACCCACATTGTATTAGGTTAATACTGTAAAACACGTGCATTCATCACAGGGGTAGAGGCACCTGTACTCAGGAAGTCTCCACATCGATGTTCCCACACCCATAAGATAACATTTACATCCAAATAAAACCTTGAAGAGATTAATTTATCACTAAAACAAGTCTTCCTAGAGAAAGATGCGCGCCCCAAACATGCAAGTTCATCAGCGTTCAACCCAGTCCCCCTGACTGCTCTATCTCAAACACAAAAGGGCAGCATTTACTATTCTTGATCCTATGGACTTCCTAGGTTCTAAGACTGTGCCTTCTCTAATTCAGTATTAACCTGTTACTCTTCTGAACAAGTAACTCCTTTTAGCCATAAAGGTTTGGGGGGAAAAAAAACTGAAACAGCAAACATGCATTTAATGTTATCTAGCAATGCTGTTGAAAGCATGTTAACTCTAAGAGCACTGTGTTAACGTGGAAGAAATAAATCCACATGTTCCACCATGTAGTCAGATCTATACTAAACATTTTTTTATTTTAAAGCTATTGCAGTTTTATAAGATACACATGCAAATAAAGAGGGACAGATCTTTCTTGTAAAAGTTGGTTCACAATGGCACAAGCTTGCCGTTGCCAACACAGCATGTAAAATAAATATTGCAAAGATACACACTGTTGCAGTTGAGTTGCCATTAGGGTTTCTGTCAGTACACAAGTCTTCTAACAGTAATGAGGTATATCAGTGTAATATTATATGAAAATGAAACCTGACTTCTTGATTAAGCAGTATGCATTTTTTTTCCAGTCTTGTTACTCTCTTCTCTATTGCAAGAGCTCTTTTCATCAGTCCTGTATTTTTCTGCACTGTGTATACACTGAAATGTAGCATGTTTATTAAAAAAAATGAAAAAAGATGACACAGCAAGCATGGTGTGTTAACCACAAAACTGGCACTCACTATCCTCTTGTGATAATTAACATTCACTTGTTTTGTTCCAATAGATAACAAATTTTGGGCAGGGACCAACCTTTTCTTCTGGGTTTGTAGAACACTTAAAACATTTGTTGTGGTCCCTAAGGACAGCATCTGAGAGCTACTCCAGTGGAATATATTACTACTGCGGATAGTGGTAATACATTATATAGTTTTAATATGTTATTAATAATGATAGAAAGTCAACACATTAAAATGCTCAAGGACACGAAGGACATGGTTTTAACTATTCCTTACAGTTCCACATTGTTCGAATAACTAGGGGTGATAGCTTCTTAAAGCAGCCTTCTGATATCCATGACATCCAATTCTGAATCTAGCTAGTGAATTAATAAAGTATTTCTTTTTGTCAGTATTTCATGCTTTCAGTTTAGCTACAAAAGGATCAAGATGACCAAGAAAAAATTTATTAGCATCATTCCTACTCTCTGATTGTTCAATTATTCAGACCAGAGCCTACGTTTTAAGAGCAATAAAAAAAAAATTGTGGGTTAAATCAGTTTCTCCTCTACAATCTTTCTTTATTAATTTTCATACAAGTAGAGAGCTGCTGAAAAATACTGGGTTTTCTTCCAAATGTACTGCATTTGTTACATAAACATTGCTAGCATTTTTGTAATGAAGAAAGCTCTCTAGCAAATGCTTCTGTAACAAACTCGGTAAACTCAGCTTGCAGGCTGCATCAGTAATTCTCTCAGAAAGCCTGGGTACTGATCAGCTGATGAGAATGTCAATAAAATTAATGGAAAGTGAACAGGCTTAAGCTGTTTTGGTACCAAATACAAAAACATTTCCTTAGCAATGGGTACACGATATTCTAGGCAGCACTGCATACTAGACTGGAGGCTCACCCCTGCTAAACACAGTGCACAAAAGCAAGTGCTCTGCTGTACATACCCGAGTGTCCAGTGAAATGTTTGCAGTCTTTCCATCAACCGTGACGCACAGGACAGAGCCATCTTTTGAACTCACACAGTCTTCTCCAAACATATCCCTAAAACAAAGATCTATGCATGTAAGGCATGGCCAAACAGCAAACTTAGGTTTTATTTTCTATTAATTTTAGGCTTCCAAAGGCATTTTGTCAGCAGAGCATCTCTTTTCAGCAATTATTATTTAGCCCACTCAGATATAATTAACAAATATCAATCTAAATTATTATGAGAGTAGGTGTCACATAGCAGGAAATATTTTACAAAAAAAAAATCTCATCATAAATGAAGGGAAGGATTCCTTTGATTTCAAAAGAGGTGAGTTCTACCTAAATAACAGAACATACATCGGAGCAAGTTTTAAAAGAGAAGTGATCCAAAATGGTATTTTCATAAGCATTCATAGCATAATTTTGGGAGACAACTTAAAAATTCGCTTCTGGAAGAAACAACTGGGCCTTATATTCAAAATTTTAATGATGCTGAGCACTTTTTTTACTGCACCTCTTTCTGTACTTAATTCCTGGCCTTCACAGAAACTAGACTGAAGTAAATTTGCACGAAGTATTTTTAAGTAACTGTATCTTTAAACTGTATTAGACTAAAATTATTGTATTTACATGATTAACAGTGATTATTTTCTTTTAGAAAAATATATGCCAACTTACTGAAGCATGATCTCCATTCGCTTCCTATACACATCCATATCTACTTTTTTGGAAATCTTATGTACTGCAGCTGAAAAGAAAAAGTCATTTTACTTTCACAGACATTTGCTGGGAGGGAAAATTGGCTAGTTGATACAATCTGGTTCCTAATTAAATTTCATGATAAACAATCTAAAAGCTATATAAGATATATGTGTTTAAAATTATTATAAAGAAAATGTATCAAAAAAAGACGGAAGAGTCAAGGAAGTACATACATTTAAACTTTATATTCCCTGTACTTATCACATTTTAAAATACACAACTTTGCAAGTCTAATTCTCACTTCTCAATTCTCCTTTTTATTATTAATGCTCATTACTTCTCACATTTCCTTTACTTAAAAGTGAAAATAATCCACTTTCATAATTTTTTTACAATCCCTCAATTTTCTATTGTTACAGGAAAATACTGCATCATGGAGGCTAGGAGCATGCTGAGTATACATAAAGTAAAACTGGACAGCAAGTGTGAGTAGTAGTAATAGGCAGAGACATTCCTGGAATGTGTTCCAGGATACAGAGTTTGAATAAAAATGATGATACTGGTTTTATACTTGGTTTCAAAATCAAGAGATAGTTTAAAACAAGTAATTTGCTTTTGAAAATGTAAGTATTTGATCATTAAAGGAGTCAGAAGTCTATAAGAAGAGCTAGTTGTGAAAATCACTACCTGTTTCACTGATGAATAAATAAAACAGACCTACAACTAGAGTTTATTTGAAAGACAGCTTTTCAAAAACTAGTTTTTAAGATTTCTAAATCATCTGAAGAGTTCAGAGAACCAAACACAATGGTAGTTAGAATAACTTAGAAATTCTTTGAAGAGCTTCATAATTGCAAGATACCAAGCAAGTGCATGTTAAAAATTTACCATCCCTTAGATAAGATGCAGTAACTGAATGTACTAAGCAAAACAATTTTATATTAGAAATGAGGTAAGAGTAGGCACATGCTCAACTGAGCAACAATAACTTAAGATATTTAGATTCAATCACTTGTGATCCTGTGAACACACTCTAAAATACACAAGTGCAAGAAGTATTTGGAATGTGTTAAAAACTCCAAATAAAGGAAAAAATCCTGCAAGCAGCCACACCTGAGATTAGCTAATAGAATCACCACCATGAAACAACATGAGAAATAATGCAAAAAAGCTTATAAAAATAGGAAAAGGGATTAATTATGGGGGAAAAAAGCTAGATATTGTCACTAGCAGACTGTACAGATAGAGTGGGGACTACCAAAAGTCAAGCCACGTCAGATATTACAATAAGAATTAAAGAAATTAGTGAAACAGTAGAAGAGTTTTTTCCAGCCATATAAAGAAAGATGGGGGGGAGGTCAAAGTACAATCCAAACCCAAAATTTCTATTTTTGGTTAGTTTCAGTAGAACAGAACATGAG